TTTTGGATGAGGTATAGGAGGTCCAGCCAAGGAGAAACCTCACTCTGTTTTCAACTATAAGCTTTATCCAAAAGGAAAGTTTTAAGCCTTCCTAAATCACATTTTTAACTACATTCCCATTTTGATTCTAAGTATTAGTCGCTTCCCTGCATGGGAACATTTCTCACCAGGACCCCAGAGGTCAGCTGCTATGGTCGGATCCTCTGCTACCGAGACAGAAGTTAGAAGTTATCGTTGTTAAAAAGATTTCAGACTTTCTGTTTTCCAGCCTGTGGGAGTTTTTTTCTCCGTCTGAGACTGAGGCATGACTCTGAAAGATGGACGAGGGGATTAGAGCATGTCAGCGTGTGAGGCGCTGCACCTGCTCCCAGTATGTTCCCATTAAAAACACGTTTGCACTGCTGAGACACATCTGTCTGCCTCCCTGAGGAGGCGAGGAGTTTTCCTCCCATTCGCCTGAAGGTTGGATTGCTCCCATTTTAAACACCGTCTCTGCCGTGGAAAGATTTAACCTCCGCTGACAGACCGCACTGAGCAGGAGCTCCTCACACCTGCAGATCCGACTGTCCCCCACGGGTGCAGGATTTGAACCATAGAAGGAATTATTTCACTGATCTGTAGAGATTGAAGATTTATTTTTTTCTCTGAGCATCACAAGGATTTAGTTTGATCTGTTTATTTGTTGTGGAGTATTAGTCATTGGTCAATTAGGTCATCTTAATGTGAAAATAAAGTCATAGTATTCGGTCTACAAGATTAAATTAATAACATTACAGAATTAAAATCATAACATTACAAGATTATTCTAAAAAAAGAAAATTAAAATCAATCCGCAATGACTCTGACTTGGATGACTGATAATGACTGATAATCTTCACCAGCATATTACAAGATTTTAGTTGTATTATTAGAATGAAATCATAATCATATTGTTACCAAAATAAAGTTGTAACATTACTAACATTAAGTCTTTGAATCTGACAGCATGAAACTCAAACCTTTTTGCTTCAACCAGGATCTGTTCCTTCTACCGACTCAGTTTCATTTTACTGTCTGTGTCTCAGAATTCGCTGTTGGTGGAAATCCCTCCGTACCGAACGCATCGCCTCTCCTCGCCCGTCCACGTCAACTTCTACGTCTGCAACGGCAAGAGGAAAAGGAGTCAGTACCAGCGGTTCGCCTACGTCCCCGAAAACGGTAAACGTCTCCTCTGATACCGTAAAAACAGCATCCATCCATCATCCATCCATCNTCTCTGATGTTTTTTTGTTTGTTTGTTTAGATGGACACCACATCTGGGAGACTGAGGCCAAGGTCGACAGAGACACGCTGAAGCCAGTAAGCGAAACAGCTGTTTCCAATGATCTAACATTGGGGAAAGTTAAATAAACCAATACTTGAATGATGCTCCATAAATAAACCTCCCCACTGATCTAGTCCATCGTCCTTTTTTTAAACAAATCTGAATCAGCATGTTTCATCATTCAAGCTCTTCTTTTTCCTTCAGTAATATAAACATTTTACGTTCTGTAAACATAAAGCTAAAACTAGTAGGTTGCTGATAATAATAGTTAGATGATATCAAATCACAACATCTCAGCAAACTCTGCATCATTACAAGCAAATGTCTAAATTGAAATAGTTTTTATTCTGCTAAAATAAAAATAAAAATCTCTAATGCCAAATAAATCTAGTGAAACTACAGTTAATCAGATGTACTCCCAAGAAAAAAAACATGTAGATTCACCTTAATTTAATCCTCCGCTCTGTGAAAGCACAGGGTGACTGTAGAGCAAAACACCATTTCTAGGAGCAGAGGCCAAACAGAATATATATGAATATATATTCAGTCTTCAATTACTGTGTTTGTTTAAAAGTAGGTTTGAAGTCCAAATGAAAGAATAGAAAGGTCAGGTAAGATCTGCATGTCTCTGTAATCTATTCTGAATAAAACAATCCTGGATAACATTTCTATGTCAGAATGAGCTCCGATTCTAACAATTAGCTACATTCAGCCTGAAGTGACCGAAATCTGATCTTTTTGCCCAAATGCGAGCTGGATCTGATCTTTTCATGACAGCCTGGACGACTCAGATCCCTTTTGCAATGTAACTCAGGCCGCTTGGCTCTGTGGTCCTGAATCCGATACTTTTCAAATGCGATCCGTGTCTGAACGGCAGTCGTGTCAAAAGTTCACACTTTTGTTACTTAAGTAAAAGTATAGATACTGCAGTTTAAAATATCTCTGGTAAAAGTTGAAATACTCTGGTAAAAGTGAAAAAATATGTGTTCCAAAAACTACTTAAGTATAAAAGTAAATAATAACCTTTAGAAGAGATTTGCTTGGAGTTGCCATATGATGACGTCATAAAAGGGGCGGGGCCCCGAGCAGATCTGGTACCTACATCGGTGCTACCATCATGTTTACTTCTGTAGACACAGCGCGCTGGCTGGTGACATCATGGCGTCCTCTACTGCGCATGCAGGACACTGAAGCTGTATGACTCCAGTTCGCACAGGAGATCTCCAGCAGAACGACACTCAGTGTGAGCGGCCATCTGCTGAGGCCCACTGGGGTTCAAGGAGACAGAAGCAGACATAGAAAA